GCTTACTTACTTTTTTATGTTTTTTTAATTACATTTTTCGTCACGTTTTTGTATGGATAATGTCAGAGTAATCTCTGACGTTAAATATTAAGGGAATATTTCAAAGAACTAAAAACCAGTAGGGAGTAATTACTCTTTAAACTTTCGGTACAGATGTAAAAATTGGTAATCATCCTGCAAAACCGTAATCAGAAGTGTTCAAAAATGAATTGGGAATTAATACCGGCATAATTTTCTCCCTCAGCTTTATCCAAACAAAATATCCGCTTTCGTTTCGTAAAACATTACTTAGATTCCATAAAAGATCCGATGTTGAATGAGATGCTTAAATCAAAGTACTCCGTGAATCCGAGATGAAAACATGCTTCGCACAGCGACGCCATTGTGTTAATTTGATTTACATTTTCAATCCCTTAAATCTACCGCAACTATACCAAATCGAACGAGAGCTCCGGTACATCGCCAATGTTCCGCCAACGTAGCTAAGCCTTACTTTATGCATGATTACATAATCTGGATGCTAATTTCCTATCGTATGCACTAAAATTGTTGAATGCATGTAAATTTTAGATGATGGAAGCTGAGCAGTGCTTACCTTTGATGCTTTAAAACATCGATTGCGTGTTTAAATTGTTAAAGATTTGTATAATTTTGGAGACGAGGATGGTGGTATGGGTGTAATAAAATCATGTCGGGATGGGAGATTTGAAGTGATAATGAATATGAAAGAGCTCAGGCGGAAATGGGAAGCAGTGAGATTATTATCTTTGTATAGGTAAAGTTAAAAAAAAATCTAAATTATTTTTTCATTTCAAAAAGCATTCGAGTTTACTATCAGCATTTAAACAAATCATTGGTAAATGCATTAAAATTTATATGGTGTGGATTGTAAATATATTCTATTTTATAGCAGGGGATTCATTATTTTTTATAACCGGCAGTGGAAATCAGTCCCATTTTCGTGTTTACGACTACCAGTGTTCAACACCGTACCCTTATAATTGTGAATCTAACCCAGAAGACAAGGGGAGTCTTGGATCAAATATTGGGACAAACTAAGGACATTTCAATTACATAAAATAGAAAATTGCCAAAAATCTCACACGATTAGGTTTAATTCCAGAAAAACTTTAAAGATAGTCAGAAGTCCTTTAAATGGAATTTAAGTAAAATTTGGAACCTCTGTAAATACTAAAAGCTGAACAATATACATTATATTGGCATTATGTGGATTCTAAATAATTTGGGTGTCATAAGTACGTATTCAAGAACCTATCTAAATGAGATTATCCTAACCAAACTAAAGTCTCAGCAAGATAGTGTTATACTAATCTGTGCCAATTTTTTTCTAAATGTTTTTGGTAAAGCTTTTTAAATGTTATGTTATGTTTGAAATTGCACAAATCACAAAATGATTTTTAGAAAGGGTGAAATAATAGCATTTTAAGAATTATTTTTTAAACTATTTTTTTTTTTCGTAAGGAATCAAAATACATCGCTTTCGCTGTTGTAAAATCTAACCACAATCTATTTAAAACTAAAATTGATGCACCTGGTGTTCTCCATGCTTCAAAATTGCTAACTTCGAAGAATGCTCAGACTCTATTTGCATACGAAATACTAAGTGAAGCTCAAAAGTAATGTCGCATACACCTTTTCAGAAATTCAAAAAGTGTGATGATTTTTGCATGTTTCTCCCCGTGTTTTAACCTCAACTTTCATCTGATCAAAAAAAGCATTCACTTGCAGGCCATAAGTTTTTTTCTTAATTTCTTAATTAGGGAGAAAGTGTAGTAACTGAGTGCCAAGTTCAGACTGTGGAAGATTTATTTCCCCCACTTCTGAAAAAGAACAACGTTTTTAAATGATTTGAATTCTTACACTTAGTCTAACTTTCCTCATCTCCTGTTTTAAAATGCTCATTTAATTGTGAGATACTATAAAGCCGTAAAAACTGATTGCTGATTGTTAATTTTACTGCACTTTGATTGTGAGATACTGTAAAAAACTTTTTGAGTGATAGAATCACGAAATCAGTTTTTAAAGTATCTCTGGTATTCAGTGGAATACAAGCCGGTATAAAGTCGATCTACAGTTCATTTACAAAATCAAGATTAACCAATTAGGAATGACACTTGGGCATATGCTTCAAGAAATTGTGATCTAAAATTAAAACAAGTAATCTTTTTCTTCGTCCCACCTTATTTTAATGAAATCTACCAAGTGAGTGGGCGTATGTGCGGAAAGTCCTGGCATACGGAGATATGGAATAGTTTCCTTTTAAACAAACATACTCAGGCGACGAAGGGAAAAAGGGGCTTAACGAGCAAGCTTATGCTTGGATTCTCGTAGAAGACAGGCATACGAAAACAGTTACAGTGTCAGTGCCTACAAAGATGTATCGATAAATTTGGTATTTATATAGTTAATTGTCAAATGTTTAACAGTTAAAGTTATGCAAAATTTATTAAAAATGAACGATATCTGTTTACAAAAAATGTGAGATCTTTCCTTTAGAATGGCTCTTGTTTATTAATCGTGGTTACTTTTTGATTGAAGAAAATTCTGATAAACGAATACAGGCCAAATTATCAATATTCTTACATATATTTCCCAAACTGGATCTATATTGTGCAAATTGTTCCAAAACATAATTTCATGTAATTCAATAATCACAACTTAAATAAACGTTGTAGATGGCTGAAGTTTTCTTCAAGTACAGTAACTTATAAGTAACTAAACGTTATTTAATGAAAGCTAAATAATAATTGTTTAAAATAAAAGTAAATGAAATTTAAATATTTTGACTGATTTGAAGGAAAATTGCATAAAAGTCAAGAAGGGGAGTTTTGGTTTAGTGGAAAAAAATTTCACCCTCCGTTATCATCTTGTTAAGTGTGCTTATTAAATATGAGTTACATAATTTGAAGAGAAGAAATTAATTTTTATCCATACCTTTTATCGAAATATTTCGAGCCAACAATTAGTTAAAAGAGTAATAAGGTATTAAAAAAATATTTAATCTTATTTTATTTATTGCAAAAATATTGAGATCGTTGAAAAAGAAACAGAACTCTTTTTTTCTAGAAAAAATTCCTCTACTGTTTAAATCAATAAGTCGCAGAGTTGTGAACATATAATTGCACATTGATGAGTTTCAAGAAAGTGATTAATTATGAGAGATTTCATTAATAAAGACCTTAAGTAAAAAGGGAATTATTTTTTCTCTTTAATTTTCTTCATTAATCTTATATTGATAAATCTGTAATCCTGGAAAGAATATTAAGAAAGAAAAAGAACTATTTTAAAGTCTTTGAACAGTTTGATCTTTTCTTCAAATTTGCCATTTGCAAAACATTTTGGTAAAAACATCAAAGCTTTAAAATTGTTTAAATTTAAAACTAGTTTTTTGAAGCAAAATTAGTTAGAAAAACTAATCCTCTCTCGAATAATCAAGAAAAGTAGAAACTAAATTCAATTTTATAAATGACCTTTTATTTTATTTAAATGCTCGAAATTTAATTGTGTTCCTGAATATCACTTAATGTAACAAAATAATTCAGATTTAAAAAAGTATATATATTTTAACACTATTTTCAATTAATTTCTTCGCTAATTCACAGAGAAGTATTAAGAAATATGTATAATGCAAATATTTTTATATAAATTGATATTATTATTATTGGAAATTACTTTTATCAATTGATTCAACTTTATTATGCTTAAGAACAACAATTCATTTTTAAAAACATATTTTCTGTAATAAAACATAAATTATAAGTTGTCACGAATTTTAACTTGCATTTTGTTCTGCGATACTAGTTATTTTCCAAACTTTATTGTGGAAAGATTAATTGCTTGACCTTTGTCTTTTGATTGCAACAGATTTGACCAATGCGTGGAGTTAAAATTTGAACAGAAATCGTTGTTCTCCCATTTCTAATTTTCTAATTTAGGCACTCTAGATCAGGTTAAATTATATTGATTGTTTTAGACAGTAGTAATGGCTCAAAAACTAGTTAAGATTTCATTCAGAAAAAATATTTTAAAATCGTTTTCAAAATATAGCTAATAATAATAATAAATTTAAGTTATATATATCAACAACTTCATAGTACGTTCTCGATTGTAAGTAATAAATGTTAAAAGCATACTGTTTAATCAGAAAAACAGAAAACAGTACATTACGCTATTAATCTCATTCATTGACTCAACTAAATCTCTTTATATTTTTTCAAAATATAAATATGATTAGCATATGATGGCATATGATTAGCATAAATTTCTTGGGACAGCCTAATTCAAATTAAAACTTTTTTTGCACTTTTTTCGACACTTATTGATAGTTCAGAAACTTTCACTTAAACATTTGGATACTTCACTTGGCCGCGATTGTGCCTGGGAAAGTGGTGGAAATTTTTTGCAATGTAACTGGTTTCACATCGTACTGCAATTATAAACACTTTTTCTTATATTTTTTTTCATTAAACTTTGTGGTTTTGTAAAACAAAAGATGCTATTAAAAAATCAAAAGCCATAAAGGTTCATTAAAAAACACTACAAAAAAATGTCGCTATTTTTTGTGAGTTTTAAGATTAGATCCACTAAAAATGTTGCCCAAACGGCCAACAAGTTGGGGATGATACTATCGTTAGTGAGAACACATTTCTTTTGCGTGTATATTATTATTCCATGCTATTCAACTGCTTAAAATTGCCAAGCTAATATTTAGATTTTTTAAGAAAATGGTGCGTGGTAAGCAAAGAGATAATTGCAGATACGTTGTTTAACACACAAGTAACACACATTTTCATTCATTTGTCATATTCTACAGTATTATTAAGCTTAATCTTATTAACTCTAGAGCCTAAAACTTAGTTATGTGGTTTAAATTAGTATTAAGATTAATGCGGCTACTTTGACTGAATTTAGATTTCTCTTTTGCACTTTTATACAGAACTCTTTTATAAGCTAGTTCTTTTTATTTATTTATTTTTCAGTTGGACCAAAGATTGAACCATTTAATTTTCCCAATAATCTTGAAGAAGGAATGCGTTCTTTAGCTACTTGTGCAGTACTCTCCGGCGACCCACCAATCACAATTCAATGGCTGAAAGATGGTTCTGATATTCCATCAGAGCTTCAAGCAAGGATAGAAATGATTGATGAGTATTCCGCATTTTTAAGATTTACCGCCGTTGGACCGCATCACAATGGGAACTACACCTGCGTTGCAAAGAATCCGGCAGCTACCGTGAACTACACAGCTTCCTTGGTTGTTAATGGTAAAAACAATTTTAATGCCTTTTTGAAAGATTATAGAACATATATAGAACTGTTTTTCACGTTAGGAAAAGTAAATGAAATATTGTTGAACTTTTTTAGTTAAAATCTGTGCTTCTTACTTAGATCTCATGTAGGACAAAAATACCATCTTAATGACATAATTAACTATAGAACACTGAGCTGTTTTTTAGTAAATGTATCTTATTGACTTAGCAAATTTATCCCTGTCTGTAATAAAATTTTCAAAAAAATTAGTTTTCTAAAATCTGGTACTGAAAAGGGGATTACTCAAATATCAAGGAAATACCTTACTAACATGAGTTTTATTTTTCGTCATCCATTTGATGATATTTTGACAAGATGAATGAGAAACGTGTTTTTGAAAATTGGTAGTTTTATTTTTATTTTTTAACGCTTTTATTTCAAAAATTATCCATGATTGTAGTTAAATTTTCATATAATTTAGAATAGGACACTCAAATGAGTCTTAATATTGTAAGTTTCAAGAAAACTCTTAAATATTGTAAGTTTTACTTTTTGTGATCCCATTCTTTATTTTATTTTATTTCATTTTATAACCGGAGTTTTGTCATTTCTTCGGTGTTATCTTGTCAAAATGAACGTGAACCAATATTTTTTTGCACAGTGAAAGTATTTTTTTCCTTTTAGAAAATATTTATGATAACCTTTGACAGTAATAAATTTTCCAAACTTTTCAAATAATTTATAATAGGATAGTCAAATATTAAGGAATCTCTTAAATATCATGGGTTTTACTTTTTTCTCACTCTTTTGGTGATAACTTATCAAAATAAAAGCATAATTTTTTGAGCACAATTTTTTTAGCAAATGCTTCTGATAGTCTATGCAAATTTATTCATGACTTTAATAAATTTTCAAATAATATGGAATAAGATACTAAAATATTAAGGAAACTACATACACAACTAAATATCATAGGTTTTACTTTTTTTTTAAATCTTTTTAGTGTTAACTTGCCAAAATAAATGTAGAAAATTTTCTTTTGAGCACTGTAGGTATTTATTTTTCCTTTAGCAAATGTTTCTGATAGCCTATGCAAATTCATCCATGACTTAAATAAATTTTCAAATAATCTAGAATAGGATACTCAATTATTAAGGAAACATTTAAACATCTTGAGGTTTTCTTTCTCCTCCTTTTGGTCATAACTTTCCAAAATGAATCCGCAACGTTTATTTGAAGGAATATTAAGAAGAGAAGTTTTTTTTCTTCTTTTATACAAATATATCATACAGCCTTTTTAAAACTATCCATGTCTGTAATAAAATGCTCAAATGATTTAGAATATATTACTCAAGTAATAAGAAAAATCTAAAACATCATGAGTTGTACTTTTTGTCATCACTTTGGTGATATCTTGCTGAAATGAACATTGGATGTTTTTTAAGACAGTGTTCTTTTATTTCCTCATTATAAGCATATCTTATAGTTTTTGTAAAATTATCCAGGAGTGTAGTAAAATTTTTAAACAATCTAGAATTGGATAATCAAATATCAAGAAAACTTTTAACAATCAGGAGTTTTTCTTTTTGTCATTTATTTGTTGATGTCTTGCCAAAATGTTGATCAGCATTCATGCAGATATTTTAAATGACATAATAATTATAGCGAACGCACTTTCTTACAAGAAAAAAAAAATCTATCGTCTAGATATTATTTGATTTTAAAAAGTAGCATTTTAGATTTGTAAAAATTGTCTTCTCACAAAGATTGCAACTTTCTCAAAATATTAAGATATAATAATCAATCATTAAAAAAGATTATTCAGTTAAGGCTTAATAAATCATGAATATCAATCCATAAAAATATCCAAAAGGTTCATCTATATCTATAAGGTTCGACTAGAAATGATATACTCTTCTATCCCGACGATTTCATGGACAGTGAACCTATCGATTGAGACTTTGACACTTTACAAATGGTTCAGCTCCATCTATTGAATCCCTAGACGCCATCTTGGGAACCTGGGTAGAATGAAAAAAATCTTTCTTTATGCTCTTTTATTCTTTTTTTCTTTCTTTTACTTTTAGTTTTCTTACAAGCAGTGTCCATTTTTCTTTTGCAGTCCCTCCCTTCTGGAGATCTCAACCAACTGACCGATCTGCAGTGATGGGGGAAAGTCTGACTGTAGACTGTCAAGCTAACGGATTCCCCGTGCCTCAAGTCAGATGGAAAAAAGACTACGGTACACTTCCTTTTTTTGAAAAGTTTTATTTTAACATTGAAAAGAGTTTTTGAGAGTGAGAGCCAATACATAATGCTTTGATATCTTTGGTATCAAGAGTTTAAAGATGTTTTACTTCTTTTAATGGATAAAATCTCAAAAGAGTTTTAGGAAGGATATTTTTTTCTTTTGCCGTTTAATGTATTTATGCCTTGATTTTAAACCAACTTTTTTGATTAATTATTTTCTTTCTTAGAATCTTGATTTTAAAGACTTAATAGTATACTTTGTTTAATGATCCATTAAGAGTTTAGGAGACATTAAAAGTTTGTATTTCTTGTAAGTTGAATTACTTTGCACAATTGTTAATTATCGGAGGGTGTTTGAATGACATTACTATTATCATTAACACTACAAAGACTGAAACTTAGTATATGCCTATATTGCCCAAAAGCAGACAAAATGACTGAATTGTGAAAAATTAACTAATGTGTAAAAAAAAATTTTAATTAATTTTTAATATTTTTTAGATTATTTTCAGTTATATAACAAGTTATTAGTAAATATTAACAATAAAAAAATTTATTTCACTTGGAAAAAAAATTATTATTATTTTTATATTTTTTGAAAAATGAAAAAGCAGTCAAAATGACTTCCTCAGGCAATCTAGTGTTAATAAAGGAAAAAGATTAACACAATAAGCATTGTTAAAAGTTAAAGATAATTAAATTAAATTAAAGATAGGTTCCATAATAAAAATAAGGCAATTATGTGAATAGCTGATATGACCTGATGTATAAATCGTACAATTAAGTATAATTATGCAGCATTTGTGCAATAAAGTATGGGAGATGAACTATTCTATGAATGTGGTACTTAAAAAATCACTGTAGTGATTTTTTTTTCTGTTGACGAAAAAAGTGACAGTCAGTGTCTTAATTGAGTTCAGCTTCCTTACCTTTAGAGCGAAAGATTATTTGATGGATATATCATATGTAGAAACAGTAATTGCTGTCTCTCAAAATGTCTTAACGAAATGCAGAAAATGTTGTTAAAAAATCTAAATTTTCAAAAATTAAATTCCCCGAGATTTTTCAAAAAAGTTCATATTAAAACGCAGTATTCAAGAAGTTTTCATACAAAAAAATTCAAAAAGAATAAATGGCAAGAACTTTACAATTAATTTATAATTTGATTTTTGACTATAAAAAAATGAGGATTGCTGGAATTCTTGAAAATAAGGCATTAGTTTAAGGAAGAAAATTCTTGAAGTTTAGGTCCCTTAATGTTAATTTAACTTTTTTCGTATTTCCTCTTATCTCCGAAACTGATAAAGCGAATTAAAATAATTTTTTCTACAGTTATAAAATACTTTTTTGTAAAAATAATTCCAGTAAGAAATATATTTTTTGAATTATTTCTTATATTATCATTTTATTTACTGATCGTCGAAATTTACTTATTTATTTACTGATCATACTTTTTTAACAGTGAAGTAGATAAACTATTGTATTAGTTTAATATACGAATTTTAAAATGTAAATTTTAAAATTTTAACAAATTTCTTGATCGTGTATATGTCTAGCCTCATATTTAGAGAGTATAGAATTCAAATACATCGAAAAAAAGTACGTTTATTCAGAGAAAATGCTTTTTATGTTCGATTTTGCAATTTGAAACATCTTCAGCACACATTAGTTTGAATATTTAGTGTTAAGTTTTACTTTTTTCATTTTTTGTGTACTGCACATGAGATTGTGTGCACTTTTTTTTATCAATTTTATATGAGATCTTAAAATAGATGATATAAGGCTTCATATGAAATATAGTATTTGATTTATATATTGCGATGTCAACCGATATTAAGTTTGCACTTTTTAGCTAGCCTTTAGTGACTAAGTAAGAAAATAATATCGAAAAATTCTTAGAAATTATTAAAAATAATATGCGATTCTAAATTGTATCATAACAAAGAAGGAAATCAAAGATATAAAATATCATCAAGCATGAATGATTTTATTAACCCTTTCGTTCAAAACACAAATAAGCTTAGAAATAATATCTCAATAGATTAAAATCAAAGATATAAAATCACATATAGTATGAATAATTTAATTAAACCTTTACTTCAAAACACAAATAACCTTTAAAATAGTATCTCAATAGATTAAAATCTAGGATATAAAACTTCATTAAGCATAAATAATTTTATTAAGCCCTTAGTTTAAAGCACAAATAAGCTTTAAATTAGTATCTCAATAGACTAAAATCACAGATGTAAAATCTCATTTAGCTTAAATAGTTTTATAAAACCTTTAGTTTAAAACACGAATAAGTTTTAAAATAGTATCTCAATAGATTGAACAAGCACTGAATTTCGAAATACGTTAGTTATTTAACTTTTCTGTTTAGAAACAACGTAAATAATAATTTACGACGTTAGATATATATCTTTTTTTTGTTCTAAATGGGATGATGTAATACATTTAGAAAACTCTTCCGTTTCTTGGATAATAAATTGAATTGCACCACTTATGTTGACTTCATCGTCGCCTCGAAGAAAGACATCTACGGTTGAGGAATAACACTTCTTAACAGAACAGTAAATTGAATTTCGCTCTACTGGAAGAAAATCACTTACTCTCAAAAAAGTATCGAAATAGCAGACGCTATTCACAATCCGATTCTCAGAATCAGCAGTTAGTGGGTTCAATTTATTGGAAACATTCTTTGGTGCTTAAGAAGATAAAGAGAAATAACGTTCAAACTTTCTATGAATAAAAAAATAACTTTTGCGAAAAGTACCTTTAATACGTCACTGAAAGAAATTTAATAAAAATTTCAATTTAAAACACAGATAATTATCAAATCAGTGAGTAGTACGAAGAAATTATTCTTACATTCTACGAACTACAATTAAAAATAGTACAATATAAAAATTTCCGGATCAAACTGTGGTATAAAGTACCGGCACTGTGGGTGAATAATTTGCAAAATCAATTTTGCCTTTAAATCTATTTTATAGTATAATCTATTTAACCGTAAAATTGAATCACAAGAAGGAGAGTAGTATGAAGGAAATAGTATTTGATTCTATGAACTGTAATTAAAAGTGATACACTGTACAAAAGTATGGATCGAATTACGTTATAATGCTTGGTACTTAAGGTGCATAATCCCTTTTACCGTAAAATTTATTTAAACGTAAAATATTATACCGTAATTTTCACAGTGATATTTATTTATTTAGATTGATTCTGTTATTTCACGGTTATCATTACTGTAAAAATTACAGTACTTTTTTGTTCGGTAAAATATTCTAGTAATTATAGCAGCAGGTACTTTATACCGGCACACTGACTACCGGTATTTTTTACCGGAATTGTATTGGGAATTTTTTTACAGTGTAGGCGTAATTACAAATCACCTTTTTCACTCATTTCATCAGATCTGAAAGAGAAAATAATTAAAATTTTATATGTTTTCACAAATTATTATCTATTGAGAGTGGAGATGAGTATATCAAATGATAACATAAGCAAAGAATCTCGAAATATATTGGTTACTTAACTTAAGATTTGCTTAGTAATAGCGTTAGCGTACTCGATGTTTTAAGGCCTAGGGTAAAGTGATGATTACTTTTTTGTAATCATAACTGGAGGAACGTTTGGAAGACTCTTCCGTTTATTCCTAATAAATTGAATTGCCGCCACTTATGCTGACTTCACCGTCACCTCGAAGAAGGACATCTACGGTTGAGGAATAACACTTCTTAACAGAAAAGTAAATCGAATTTCGCTCTAGTGGAAGAAAATCACTTACTCTCAAGAAAGTATCGGAATAGCAGACGCTATTCACAACCCAATTCTCAGAATCAGCAGTTAGTGGGTTCAATTTATTGGAAACATTCTCTGGTGCTGAGGAAGATAAAGGGAAATAACGTCCCGAGGTTCAAAATTTTATGGCAAAGAAATTTTTGAGGAATGTCTGTAACTTATTTTTCTTGGAGTACTAAATTTAGAATAAATGACGTCACGTAGAGGTATTTTGGAAGCTGAAAATATGACTTTTTCAGGGATATTACTTTATTGCGAATTTTTCTGCCACTTTATGGAGATGCAGTTTGGTAGGGTAGGTCATCTTACAACATAAAAGTTAAGAAAGAAGTTTACAAAGAATGCGTTTCCAATATCCAAATGTAAATCCCTTCATGTGAAAACTTTTCTTTTCCATAAATATGAATGAGAATTTAAAGATTTTACGACGAATAAACAAGACTTTTTCTGGAGAAAGGTTAAGGTAAATATGATGCGAACAAAATCAAAAGTAGAAAAAAAGGTTTTTTTTCTACCTAGAAAAAGAAAAATATGCAAAATAGCAATGGAAATATTAAATACCTAAGAAATAATTTTTTAAAAATTTGTCAAAACTAAAAAAAATCGTTCTGTTTTTTTTTTCGTTCTATTTTTATCAAAACTAATCTACAAAATTAATGTTGCTAATAAGTATTAAAACAAAAATAATACGTATTTATTAGATTCCTATTTATTAATAGATATAAACTTTGAATAAATGTTTACCGATCCAAAAAATGGAAAATTTAGAATCTTAGGAAATAGACTAAGGAATAAATATTCTCATACAGTACAGAATAATGCAATATGAAAAGCAAATCAAGCTCTAAGTTCTATATTTACAATTTCTACTGTTACTAGTAAGATCAATTAATTTTGTCCAAGGAGTATGAAAATTCTTATGATTAAATAATTGGTAACATTATGCGTCAGTTAAATTGCAGTATTTAATGCTTATAGCTTCAGTTTGCTTCGAAATATAATTCTAATTTTGACAGGAAAAGTTATATCTTGTTTCGAATTTAGTGAAAAGTTAAACTTTGAAGTGAAACTAAACTGCTGGGGAGTAATATCGAGAGCAAAATTACAGAAAACTCCTACTAAGTGCAAGAGATTTCTGTAATGAAGGTGGAAGGTTCATTTCTTCCTGAAGGCAATATTTAATAT